GGTGATAATTATATGTCACTACAGCTGAGGCTTTTTTATTTTTTTTAATGAAGATGCCTCTCAACCAGGTTTTGAACTGAAGCAGTTCATTTTAGAAAGGCAGCTAGTGAATAGTTGGGTTCTTACAGGTAATAGTGTGTATTTGTGGGTTATATTTACTGTAACTTGGATTAGTTTCAAGTCATGGATCTAGTCATGATATGTGGAAGTTAAAAGTTTTCTAAGTGAGTTTTAAATGTATAAAATCAAGGAAACTTAAATTGAGGAAACCAGTAAGTTCAATAAGCAGTAATCATAATGTTTTTGCTGGTCTTCACAGTACTTGTTAGACTGTTCCTAGGAGTGCCTCTACTTCATACCTCACTGTGTCAGTCATGAAGATCCAGAAACTTCAGAAGGTCCACCTTCAGTACGTGGTCCCTGCACCACCTAAGCAAACTGTTTGCAAGTCTGGTTTTAAAAAAGTAGTAGCTTTTGTGGTTTGAAAAAGCAGAAAGTTTTTCCCCCTTTGAAATGTTGATTTAAACTTTCTGTTCACCAAATTGTAAAAACTATGCATATGGTATTAAAAATAAGTTGGTTGAAGTAAAACAAGCCCTTTGTTTTACCTCAGGTTATACTTACTTTGAAATGAAATTGTTGAAAGTTGTGCTGCAGTTAGTCTGGCACTTCAGTGAGTGTGCTGCCTTTCAGTTGCAAGGTTATATTTCATGAATGTCTTAAGCAATAGTGTAGTTTGTATTAAATACATCTCCTGAAAATAATGTGTTTGTGATGAACTAATCTCAGTTTTGCTTGAGCTTCTGTTGTTCACACATACACATGGTGAATACCCCTCTCCTATCTGTGAACAGAATAAGCCAGCAACTGATTAGAAAACATTTCAGTGATCGGTTTTTCAGACAGCTACATATCTAATCAGTCAAACAGCTTTAGGAGAAGAAGTATTTAAATGGTTAGCCCTGCAACCACCAGTTGTATGAGAACACTGAAAACAGTGTTTTTAAAAGGTGATTTTGCATCTGTGAGAACAAGGGTGTGATGAAGACAAATGGTTGCATGTTACATGGATACACAATGCAAGAAAATGCCTTAGCTAAATGTGTGCTATGCCTTTTGTCAGAGTGATTGAACTTTATCAGCACCGAATTCAGTGGCTGTTGCAGGACAGCAGAAAGGTAACTTTAACTTTGCAGCATGTTTTTAGAATGGAACTGTATACGGCATTGAAGAATAAATTAACTTTTGAATACTAGTGAAAAGTGGCTTCCAGAAAGCTTACATATTTTCATTATTTAGTGTGAGTTACACATCATGTGCAGTGATACTTGTCTTGACAATTGATTATTTTTCTTGATATTTCTTTGGTATGCAGTTTTCTGCTTTCTAGATCTAGTCTTTTTCGTAGCAATCTTAATCATCAGGACCTCTTGGCATGATTTAAACGGGAGCAGCCAGTGCTGCGCTTAACCTCTGACTGGAGTGGAGCTGTCTTGTAGTCCATTGTGCCCTCTCTTGCACAGCTGGTTAATCACTTGTTGTGCCTAGCAGTGCTAATGCTCAGGAATGGGAAACGGACGTAACTCCCTCTCAAAGGGGACAGAGAAAGAAGCAGCATTCCAAAAATCTACCTTCCACAAAGTTGCTTGATTTAACCTGAAGGAGATGCTGTAGATTAAGTTATTTTTCATCCTCTCAAATAATGAATAGGTTGTCTAGGGAAGGAGGGAATATGATTCACTGGTAAGGATAAACTGGGAGCCAGTAGTCCTATCTTTTTTTCTTTTTTTTTTTTTTTTCCTTGGCTTTGTCACTACGTCATCTTTATGCTAAAAAACTTAAAGTGAAAATAAATACCTAGTATTTGATTTTAAAATGGTGTTGTACAGAATAAACAGTAACATTTCTAAACTTTAGATAAGCTTTGTATTTACAGTGACTTTTCTCTTTTAAGGTATTTGGTCTTATAAAAGGAACCAAAGTTGGACTTGTGGTTAATGTGTCTCATATGAGTTATGGACCTAGACTACTGGATTTTAAGAAGGACCTTTTGGTAAGTAATAATAAAGCAGCCTTTGGCAATTAAAACATACTAATCAAGCTTTTGTATAACTACAAGCCAGGAACTAAGTAGAAAAAAAAATCTGCCTAAATTCATAATATACAATAGAAGTGTTCTGTTGTAGAAAAGTATGTTTTAAATGTCTTTGAAAGTGTAGTCTTTGTTAATGTCTACTCCAAACAAACTCCAGTATGTACTATAATAATAATACTTCCCTTATTAATATTTGGAATTTTCTAAATTCTTGTACCAGCATTCTCTGTGGAATAAACTTGGCTAACAGAAACAGCCGTAAGAGCTGGAACCAAGGTGTACATAGAGCTATTTATAGTAAATATAGTTTCCTTATGCCTTTATGTTTTGCCACAATAAGGCACACTTTTTGGTCAGAACCTTGGTGAGTTAATCACTTCCTGAAGTCCCAAAAGAAACTTGTCCTTTATTGTGCTCTTTAATTTTATAAAACTTTTTTAGTAAGGAACGAAGATATAATGTAGGTGGTTTACTATCTAACTTTGAAACTTTGTACAATTTCTTTTCCTGCATTCAGAAATTATTTAAAATCAATTTATATTATCTGCAGTTTTCATTTGTGTGTTTTAAATAAAACTCCTTCAAGAAAACTCGCTTTCCACATAGTCTGGTTTGCTTAGCCTTAGTACCTGAACTATTGTTTAGGTTATGTGTTAAACAGGTTTTTTTTAGTGATTGCTTGGTGGGTGAATATGCCCATTCTAGATCAGTATGTTGTTTCATGTGCTTGTCAACTGAAGAGAAAACCCGGTACCAGTACAATAAATATTCCCTGCCTCCTGCCCTGTTAATAAATTGGCTGGATTACCATAGGTTTGCAGGTTTTGTCTCTGTACTCCTTACCAAATATTTGAATCTGTATGACTTTTCTTGGAAGCTTTTCTCTGCGGTACCTGAGAATATTGCTGTCAACTATTTTTAGGAAATTACTATTTTTATTCTTTTACATAATAACCATACTAGAAGCAGCATGGATAGTAATGCATTAATAATTTTTTATTTGTTAGTGCTTAATAGATGAACAGCTATGTTATAAGAAGCAATTGTACTGCCTTTCATTCAGCACAGAAATTTCACGTCTGTGGGAGAGTCCAAAATCCATCAATGTTCATGTGTAAGTATGTTTGCTTGTCTGAAAAATAAAGGTGTTTCAAAGAAGGTCTCCATTTAATTAGAGCAATCTCTTGCAGATAATAGTGTGTTTCGTCTTGTGGCTGCAGTGATTTGTAAGAGGGGAAAAAAACCCAATGAATTTTAAGTGCAGTCAGTGATTTCAAGCTGGTTGTTCATGCATAAAGTATCTTAGCAGCACCTTCATGGTCTATCTTATTTAGCACCTGCATGTTAAGTGTACATATTCCTTTTGGTTTTTTCCTCCCCTAGGCTACATGAAGCAAGACAGTGGATACAACAGCTGGAGCCTGGTCGAGGCTGCAATTTGCTGAAAGCCTTAAAACATGTCCTTGTGATGAAAGAACTGAATTCTCTGGTTCTTATTGTAGGAAGCTGGTAAACTCATTATCTGTCCTAATAACCAGTTTTAACTTGGATACAGAATTGGTACAAGAACTTAAACTTGATACAAAAATAAATGGAAAATTTAAGATCTAGTTTTTTTGTGGGTTTTAGTTCATGCCACTGAATTCCTTTATTTCTTCCCTTTTTTACTATTTATAAATCTTCTCTCTTCTGATACAAAGCTACATTTTTTTTCTTTGCAGATCAGTTATCACAGTATCCATTGAGAGTCTGCTAGCTCTAATGTTACATCAATAAAAATCCTTCAGCATCATTAAGGATGTCATTGAAAGGGTCCAAACCTCTGGGAAGATTAGATGATGAGCTAGATTTTGCTGTAAAATAGTATTAAACATTCAAAGATAGTCTTCCCTCTGTCATCTTGGTGCGGATGGAAAACTTTAAAATGTCTGATTAAATAAATGAAACCAGGCTGAGATTAGATAAATTATGGACAAATTCTGCAATTCTACTGTCATCATTTGAAAACTTGCAGTACTGAAGTCAGGATTACAAGAAAAAGACTACAGTAAGGATTCTGGGAGTGTTACAGTACTCCTAATTTATTCATCGTATTTATTTTAAATGTGCAAAGAAGGGATGCTGTAAGCTTGGCAAGCTTGATATTCAGGGTGACTGAGATTACATTTCAGCTAACTTACTGAACACACCATGTTCAGTTAAAAGGTTCCAAGTTTTGCTTAGGTCTGCTTTGAACAGAACACAAAAGTTTTTAGTATGTGCAAGTGAAAACTTCCTTAATTTTTGTCCCTGGCAGAAGTGTGGCTGGAAGGAAAGGTTTTTACCAGCCATGAAGAACCATCAAAACTCAGGGAATGAAAGCTGTGTGGGTTGCTGAGTTCTAAACACAAAGCAAAGTTTCTTTGGTGCCTTTGGAAGACAATGGACATCTTTACATACAGCTGAAGATCTGATTTGAAAACTTTGCTATCGCAGTTTGTCACAGGGGGCGAAACCACAATTCCTGATTTTTAGCTTCCAGTGCTAGCAAGGAATAATTTAGAACATTTCATCCACAAGCTGTTATGAACCGGAATAGAATCTTAGTGCTTTTATTATCATTCAGGTTTTCAGGACAGAACCAAATCCCAGTAGTGGTACCTCAGTAATTGTTGAAAGAGGGAGGGGATGTCAACTTACGCTAAATGACTGGATTACGTTCACATGATTTGTTATTTCTTTCCCGCTTTGTTTTCTTCCCTGTCTTCTTCAGTATGGCTTTTTCCCCCCATTTGATTACTGCCATTGTTAATATCTTTTTTCCCTTATTTATTTATTTATATCAGCCCTGATCAATCTTTGGAAATATTGTCTGACTATGCTCAGCAATGTATGCTGGGGAGAAAACTACACGCTCATGCTGTTACATATGATTGCAGCAATCTTGCTTCTCTTGTAAGTAATCGTGTTAATACTTCCTTAAATGTCCTGACTTTTGTTTCCTATTCAGCTGCAATGTCTTTCCTCATAAACTTGTGAGGAAGCTAACCTATTTGTTAAAGAGTTCTTGATCTAGAGTTGTATTTTCTTTAGAGCACACTTGCACACATGAAAAAATTTGTTTGGACCATTCATCTTGGCTCATACCAAAGCCAGGAGTGGCAACCAAGTGGTGTTGACAGGCTTGGCCGCTGAAGGGAAGCAGTTATTTCTAGATAATCATCCTGTGTGTTTACAGAGAAGACTTTGGGGCTAAGAGCTCTTTTGCAGGTGAAAGCAGAAAGATCGGGGGCTTCAGGTAGGCAATATTGCAGTCAGGACAAGTGGGTAGGGTAAGGGATTGTAGGAGAAAGGCAGGGACTTCGGAGTGAGATCATACAAGTATGGCAGTCTCTGGAATAGGAATATTTTTGTATGGAATAGCGTCAGTGCAAACTCTAGCAGCCCTGCTCAAATTACAGTGTTGATCATGAGTGGTGGTTTGGATGTTAGCAGTGACTGCCTGAAGGAAGAGGAGGACAGAAGGTTAAGCAGTTACTTTTGGTTAGCTTCTGCATAGAAACTTGTTTTTAGGTGGTGATTGCTTGTTTAAGCAATTTCCCTAAGGCATGTAGTGATTTAAGTGGCAGGGAGGACTCGGCTGAAATCCTGGTTTGAAGAGAAGATTGGATGCAGCAAGGGTATTGCAGTCGTGGGGAAAGGGATTGCAGTGGTAGTCGGTAGGAGAGAAGGAGATGGGAGAGGTGAAAAAAGCAGCAAAGGATTTAAGAGGTAATTGAGGGCAGGGGAAGGATAGCCTTATATTTGTACTTGTAGACTTTGGTGATACACCTTGGTCTGACTAGCACAAGCCTGCCTTCAAAGGAAGAGAAAGCGACTGGCATTTTAACACAAGGTGAATGAATGTGACCCTTATTGCCTACTTTGTAAATTTCTTTACTGAGTTATTTTATACAGCCATATTAAAATAAGACTGGTAAGAAAACCATGGAAACATAGTTACTTTGGCTTTCTCACTACATGTACCTCTACCCTTAATTGGTTTAGTGGTGGACTTGGTAGTGTTAGGTTAATGGTCGGACTGGATGATCTTAAAGGTCTTTTCCAACCTAAACGATTCTATGATTTTTTTCTGTCTCTAACTGAGAATTGAATACCAGCAACCCATGTTATCAAAAGACACTACCAAATTAAATTAACTATTTTTCTTCCTATTTATGTATGTAGGCAGTTCTAAAGAACCTTGCAGAAGCTGTAAGAGGCCGTTATCATTGCTACTCTTCAAAGGGAGAGGTAGGTGACAGCTAGAGAGGTGAAGCATTTTTCTCTCTTTTTGATGATTCTTCGCTTTGAGAAGGTAAACTAATTGTCATCTGAGTAGAAGTTTATAACAAGACCTGGTGCTGAAAGTCTCTGTCACAGAAGTGCTGAGGATGTGGTCACTAAACCTGTTGTTAATTCTTTCTGCAACTGTAAGTGCTTTCCTAAAAGCACAATAAATTTTGCAGCTATTGTTCACTGACTTAAAGCTGATGAATAGGATAAAAGCAATGGCTTATTTGTAGACTGATTGAAAATAATAGAATAATATCTTGTTTATAAAATGATGAATAACTTACATGCAGTGCATTAGATACATTTACACTCAATTCTGCTGTGCCAGGCAGTCTTGTATAGATGTATGCACATCAAAGCACGACAGCTGTGTTTGGTTCGTATTTGAATAGTAGTTAACTTATTTTTCCCCCTTTGTTTTTATATGTGCAGAATTTTGATAGCAGTGATGTTCATCTGCTACTTCAGGAATCCCAGAAGGCTAAGGACTTGCTCAAGAGCATCAAACAGACTTTTCAAAGAAGAATTGGTGGCTCACTTATTAGTAGAATAGCAGATGTATGTATCTTTTTATTTTCATGTGTACTTTGAAGTATCATGGGTAGAAGTTTTTAGTGTTCACAATATGAAAAAAAAAATATATGATTAATCTGGTATTTTGATAAGTGAACTTTTGAATATTATCTATTGGCTATGCATTATAAGAGCAAATTAAGGCCAAAACCAGTAAAGGAGACATTTTGCTAGACATGCTCCAAATGCAGCAAGTTTTATAAACCAACAAAAATGCGATGAAAAGAACATTGTACCATGATCATAATGGAAAGCGGAGAGAATCACTAGCCTAGCTGTATGCATGATCATTTAAATGAAGTTCCAACAGTCCTTTAAATCGGTAAAAAGATACTGACTCCTGCCTGATTAAGGTGGACACTGAAATTCAGTTGCAAAATCATAAGGGCTTGCCTAGAAGCTACAGTCTGTCTGTTACACATCTGTCTCTGTATTGGTCCTATCTTATCATGAGAATTTGGCACCATTTGTTCTGTAATTGTCTTGGTAATGTTTCTATTTTTATGCCTTATTTGACCAACATACCAGAGGTTCTTACTTTCTTTGTCTTTTCTCCAATAAAGTAACTTCTAAGACCTCTTGATGAAATACGGATGAGGAAGAAAAAGAATCGCTTGTGATTTTTCTTTTTTCTATGGAGTGTTTGGATAATTTTTAGTTCTGCTTTGATCTGGTAGATTATTTACTCATGTCTGTCTTTCACCTTGTGCGAATAGTCTTAAGTGGAAATATGCATCTCTCTTGCCTTACTCTCACCTCTGTACTTTCTAGGGCCCTGGAAGTTTAGAAAGTGGCTGAATTCACCTATGGTTGCTAAACTTGAATGCTAAAAATTTGGCAGCGCTGTTTTACAAATCTGTGAAGAATTTTCTTCTTTATAAAGTAGTCTGTTCTCTGTCACAACTACTGTAGACAGTTGTGTGAGGTGGACAAGTTTGATCTGAAAGACGGACTGAAAGCTTCCATTGGGTATTCTTGCGTATCTGGTCATCTGACCTGAGACATTCCAGACAGGAGGCAAATTGGTTATTTGTGAATAATATTTCTAATTCTGTTTCCCTTCATCCTCCCTATTCCGTATCTATAGAATTCTTTCATGTCTCTTCCAACCTCATAATTACTAAGGACCACGTAGACTACCTATGGAGCAGAAGTCACCCTGAAATGACTTACAAGGTCCTATATTCCCCAAATAACAATATGTCATTTCAGAAGCTTACTAGTCAAACTTTCTATATGAAAAACCATCTCCACAAACTTATGTCCAGTCATAAAGCAAAGGTCTCTTACCCCTTCTTGAAATGAAGGAATTCTAGTGCCCCATAGGAGTTTTTGTTGACTTGTTTCCATTTGTGTGAATGAAGGTAGAATGTGGTTCATTTGACTCTGTGCTTGGTGCAGGTAGAAAATGGAGCTGTTGAGATTTGATCTGTGTGTAACGAAGATCCTTTTCCTACTTGGTTTTCTTAGAGAAACAATTGGCTGTTTTCATGCCAGTATGTATAACCATGATGTTTTAATTTCCCTGTGGGTTTTGCATTGTGGCAAGCAGAGTGTAGTTAATGGAACATTGTTCCCCAAAACCTATTTTTAGGAGGACCAATGATAGCTATTTTCAAAGTATTTTGCTTGTTGAAATCCCAGCACTTTGGTGAACATAAGTAAAACTAATATTCCATGCTGGATATTTTGGATTGAGGGTTAAAAATATTATGCTAAAACTTGCAAGAGTTTTTCTTAAAATCCATTTTAGGTTTCCACAGAATTTGCAAATACAGCACTTTCCAACTTCTTACCAAAGCCTCCAAAGCACGAAGGACCATTAGTTATTCAAACACCGTGTGTCCTGGCCAAAACCTCAACAGACTGGTTAAAGACAAATGGACTGAAAGGTAGCACAGAAAGAAAAGCTTAACAGGTATGAAACATGAATGACAGAGTATGTGTTTTATTTAATTTCTTTGTTCCTTGCTATAGCTAAAAAGTTAAACCTTTATCAAGTTTTGGCTCCCAATGCTTTCTCTCCTGTGGAAGAATTTGTACCTATTCTTAAAAAAACAGTATCATCAACTCTGCATGAGGTAAGTGATGGGAACCCTTTCTTTTTCTTGTTGTTTGGTTTTTTTTTTTCTATTGCTACATTTTTCTAATTAAACCCAGTACTTTATAAGTTAGTGAAATTCTACAGGCTTTAACTGAAATTTGAGTCGTAGATTCAAATCAGATACTTATGCCATTCTTAAGAATGATTCAGGAAGGAATTCCATGTTCGTGTAGCTTATATAGGCTTCTGAAAACACATAACTCTATTATTTATCCTAGAAGGCAATGATGCAGTTTGAGTGGCATGATGGAACTGTGAAAAATATCCACATTGACTTGCCAGTATTATACAACTATCAGGTGAGTTGTCTATAGCGATGTGGCCTTGTCAGGGCTAGATTACCATCTAATTATGCCACATTAATTGTCCTGTTACCCAAGTACTGCAGGGATTCATGTACAGGCAGCTATCCATGTAAGTCTGCAGTGATCTGGTCAGATTTGGGACCCAGATTCTTACAGTAGTGAGGAAGGAGGCTAAGTAAGAGAAAGAGTCCCTCAGTGTTGCTCATAAATACAGCAGTGTGCATTTTGCGACCTATGTGTAAGAATGTATTTACATTATTTTACGCACGTATGTATGAATCCTTTAGCCTGTACATTGAAAGGATACAACACAATAGAGTACTCCTGCTTGCTTTAACAGAACTGTCCCATTTCATCTTGGTTTAACCATTAAAAAAGAAAAAAGTTCTGTATTTTGTTTTATCTCTTTGAAAGTCAAACAAGTTTTATGAAGAACAATGTCTAATTGTTACTGGCTAGACCAAGAAAAATTGAAGGCATAGCAGGAGCACTCAAGGAAGTACTGTAGGAGCAAGCTTGGATGATTGTTGCATGACTTGAAAGGTGGTGTGTGATATGAAAGTATGTGCCAAGGCACGTAACATACCAGCAAACCAGAGCCTCTTTCTGTCATAGCAACCTAGTCCCTCATGCATAGGAAAGAGAGTCAAGGCAAGGGATTATTTTGAAATAAAAGTTTGATCTTGAACTATCAAATAATCTAGAAGACTGTTTGAATGAGGGATTAAAAAAATATACTGTGACATGAGTTTCTTTGGTAGGTGAGCTTCTCTCAATTCAATGGATGGATGGAGATGGGGAGAATGGTGAATTAAGGGGAATGATGAAAAAAGACACAGTATTCCAGATCAGTGATGTTGATTTCCACGTGTGCAGAAGCATATGAAAGTCTGCATTATAAAGGAAGCCACAGGAGTAAAATTAGGTTGCCTTGATCAGGATCTTGCATTAGTCTGTATTCTATGTTTGGATAATGTGTACATACACATGAGTGTTTTTCTCCTGTGTAGTTTGGGGTGGATCCTGCAGCATCCAGCAGCTACTCTCCTTCTGTTTGAAATCTGCTATAATACCTTAAGACCAGTAATGTAGTACAGTCCATATAGAGAGTCCAGTAGGATTTGGAATTATAGTTTATATTCTGAATTCAGTGTCTCATCTGTACTTTCAGAGACATTCACTAGCCTTTCCACTGTGAATCCTATACCCTTGCCACATCGGAAGTAGCTAGTAGTCTCCACTGTAAAATTACGAGATCCAAATCTAGTAAGTTCTGCATGATTGCCAAATGGTAATATTCTGTAGATGGTCACATCAGAAGTAGTTCACTCTGAAGTTACTCTTTTACCAAGAGTAACATTTTAGTCTTGACAGTGTTCCTACGGTACTCTTTACCAACTGTTTAGACAGAATATATTTTTTCTAATGTGAACGTCAAGGACAAATGATTTTGATGTGTTCTCAGCATAACCAACCTTTTTCAAGAATCAGAAAGCAGGAATTATTTCTGCTTACTCTATAGAAGGTTGTCATACTTCTGCTTTACTGTAAAGTGTCAGTAGAAGCTGCATATTTGTATTTCATGGTTTAGGATATGCTTACCTGTTCTCTTAATGTGAATTCTGAAAATTGTACCAGCATAGCACTGCAAACCACATCCTCCTAAATTATTCTAGTTTATCCCCTTCATCTACAGCTTGCATGGAGGTTTAGGGTTTTTTTTCTGTCTTCTTCCAAAGTGAGTGGGATGTGAGGAAACTACACTTTTCAGGCTTAGCTGGGCATGCGTGGACAGTGGATGCTGCAGCTTTGGTTTTGCAGCTGTATGTACAAGGTGATACTGTGGAGGGATTTGAGTCCTGGGAAAAACAGGAGGACTGTGTCATTGTGCAATATGGTATGACGAGCAGAGGCACCCAGTGCTTTCGAATCTAGAATAATGTTGTTGATAGAATAATGTTGGTAACACACTGATGTTTTAGTTGTTGCTAAGTAGTGCTTACTCTAGTCAAGGGCTTTTCAGCTTCCCATGGTTTGCCAGGTGCACAAGAAACTGGGAGGGGGCACAGCCAGAATAGTTGATCCAAACTGCCCAAAGGGCTATTCTATACCATATGACATCATGCTCAGTATATAAACTGAAGGGGAGCTGGCTGGGGGAGCAGCGATCACTGCTCGGGAACTGTCTGGGTATGGGTCGGTGGGTGGTGAGCAGTTGCATTATGCATCACTTGCTTTGTATATTATTATTACTGTTATTA